CGCATGTATTTGCGGATGTATGTATGTAGGTTTGAGTGGAGAGTCGGCTGGTCGGTGTAATGATCACTCTTCTTGTTGGTCGGTTTGTCGGTTTGTGGGTTTGATGGCTTTTCGAGGAAGGGTGAGGTTTGCCGTGGGGTGGAGTAGACAAAAGAGAAGAAGCACGAGGCAGAGCCGTGAGTGCCAGTCTGACGAGGGGCGTCTCACAAGCGACATGTCATGATGCTTCGCTCGACGATGTCACTTCCCGGCCGACGAGTTGGCCGACTGGAGCTCGAGTTCATCCACGCAACCATTTGCAGGGTGGAATGTTCTGTTGCCAAGCCGACAGAGCCGTCTCGCTCTGTCCCCCGATTGTTGGGCGAGCAAAGAGACAATGGCTTATCAAAGTGCACAGGAGAAAACAATACAAAATGCCATAGTCCCCTTCGCCTCGCTCTCTAAAAGCATGCCATCCCCGTGACCGTTGATGCCGGCCCACGAGTACATGCTGCTGCCTGCACCTGCACCCGCCCCTCTGCCATTCATATCTCCACACACACACAGACACACACAGACACACATTGGTATGCACATAATGAGATATCATTCTGTCATTTATCCGGGACCAACTCCCCATTTGTCGGGAGAGTAGAGTCGTCACGACAACTGTCGGATGAAGTGAAATGGTTATTTTTCGTTTCCTAAAAAGGTTATTGCCACCGCGTCGGTTATTGCCTCAGCCATTTGCCTCCATTAGGTCATGTGGCCTCGGGTGGTGCTCAAGACCGGGCCGCCCTCTTGCCACACCCTCGAAGGGGCCGAGTCTGAGAGAACTCTTCCGTGAAGCATCGCGTTCATTTCACATCACTTACGCCCGGCCGCCAGTTTGCCTGTACCACATGAGTTGTTTTGTGTGCATGGGCGCCCGTGTGAATGAGCCGGCTGGTGCGTGTGTGTACGTGTGATGGCGTGAAATGGGGCCATGGGGCGAGAAGGAGTGGAGGGGAAGACGATCTTGCCAATCGGCGCAAGTGTCCAGACTCGCGGTTTTAGAGGCAGCCGCGTCGAGCAAAAGACGACTTGGAAAAGAGAAATAACGTCCAACGGGGCGGCAACGTGGCAGGCCGGATGGCGAGGGGGGGCGTGGAGACCCGCACAGATTGGCGAAAATGAACTCGGCGTATAGAAGCTCTTAATTATCATCCTGGATCACACTGAAAGGAGAATCGAATGAAGGATAAAACTACGAAATGACGTGACACCAAAAGACAATGAATGCAACAAAAACTTAAGAAACCTCCAAAGTGAAGTCAAAGTTGACGTTGAA